TCTCTTTGTGGAGGCGCCCTGCTCCTGCGCAGACCGAAGTCGGCAAACAATAGCGCAATGTTGCCGCCCGCCGCCCGGCTCTGTCGGCCACACCGCGGCGGCCGAAGGCGAGGAAACCGGGTGGCGCTTTTTTATAGTCACGAATATAAAATCGGGACTTTCCCCCCTTTCGCTCGCCTCTTGCCCCAATGCCGATAGAAAGCAGATAAATTTATGAAGGGCAAACTAAGAGAATAATTACAGGGTGAAGGCCGTTAAATTTTATTTCCAGTCCCAAAGGCAAAACCTGCGATTTTATTGCAAACATCTGGAAAGACCGAGAGATGGGCACGCTGCTGGTTTAAAATAAAAATAAAAGATTTTATTTCGCGAAAACAAAAAACATCATTAAAGACATTTTCCCCCCACGGACTTTTATTTTTAAAAAGCATGAGGAGGGTGGTTGAATAACCAACGACCTAGGGCGGTCCCACAGCGACCTGAATGAACCTGGGCGACTAGAAACACCGTCGGTAAGAGTGGTCTAGCGCTGTTTGCGCGGAACTGGCGTTGGGCAGGAGTTTCCAGAAATTGGCCCCCTCCCACCACGCCCTAGGGCTCCAGACCAGTTATGCCGCCCCATTTCATGCTTTTTTGTTGCTTTGGGGTGCCAATTTGGGAAAAGAAGTGAAAAGTGGAAACGCTGGCCTGACGTTGCCGGAAGATTCAATCATAGCAATAATAAAACCTCAGGTCTGTCCAGCCTCCTACCGATATCTTGCCTGGTTTTCTTAGTTGTAAAATTTAAAACTCTTTCATTTTGGGGACAGGGAAACTGAGGCATGGCCATTAATCAATCAACTTGCCTAAGGTCACACAGGTTGGGGCTGAACCAGACTCCATCTCTAGGCTCCTCCTCGTCTCTGGAGTCCCGACGGTTTCTTCCCACCCCATAGACGCCTCTTAATGTTTTATATGTACCTTGATGGCCAAATTCATTATAGTTCCCTTGCCGGCCACAGCGTGTCCTGCCCACATGCTTAGGAGCAACCTCATAGGTCTTGCTGGCCAACTATTTTTAACATTGTTTTCAGTTATTCGAAACTCCAAAATCAAAGCTGCCTCTTGGGTCACCTTGCTATTGAGGCATTAGCAGTGGTGGTATTTAAGGTGGTGTTTGGTGTAGGGAGATGGGAGGAAACGACAGGCATGTGGTAGATTCTGGGAATGCGTTTGTGTTTATGACTTGTCCCCATGTTGCAAAACTCTGTTTTTCATTTGAAAAATCAAAATCTCTGGGCATGGTCAGTTTTAGGTGAAGAGTTACTGTGCTGCTCTTTTCCTCTTAATTTTCCCCGCTAAGCCTAGGCCTACACCTCCACTTCTCCATAAGTCCCTGCAGGTGATCAGTGATATTCCAAGACCACCTCTGACTTCCTAGGTACTCATCAGCCTTCTTTTCCTCTTTGGGGTCCTGCAGGGGGTAAGATGGGGGGGGGGTTCTAGCTTGGTCCTTGTCAATCAGCTTTTGGACTGAAATAGACCAGAGATGGACCTATTTCAGAGTGACCTACCTGTAAGATCTACCCAGGGCACAAACCTGGAGCCTGTAGCTGGGAAATTTGGGAAGTGCTTGGGAAATTAGTCTTATAAACTGGGGATCTCACTATTTTCCCTAAAGGTTGAAGGAAAGAGAAACTGGGGCAATGAGAAGAGATTTTAAAAAGGCTTTGATGTAATCAGGGGAAGGAAATTTCATACCACACTTCTAGATTCTTACATTTAATCCCTACAACCCTCCCTTTCCTCTGAACTGCATGTTATTACACACATAAGCCACACTTATGAATCCACCCAGCATAATCTTTCTGCAGACCTTTCTCCCCATCAGCACAGAGTCACACACCAAGGAGTGCATGCCTCTGGGATAAAATTTAGATTGAATCCTATAGAGTCAAATTTCACTGCCCCTCCCATTTACTTAGAGAAAACCCCTATTTTCATGACTGTTACAAACCAGCCTGTCTTCATTTGGGTCGAAAGGTTTCAGTTGCCTAACTCACAATTCTGGGATATGTGTGTATGTGGCATGGGGGTGGGAGCAATCTATGGGCAAACTGAAGGGGGTGGTGGGGGTGGTGTGGGAACTCTTCACAGAACTCTATGGTGGGTATGTGCTTTGGGGTGAGGTGCTCATGCACCCTGTTGAAAGCATTGCTGGCTCCCCTATGTCTCTCAGACTGTCTATGGACACATACGTTGTTCAGGCCTCTGAACCTATAGTTAGGCATGGATAGCCAAAAGTCCTTTTTGGGGGGAGTTTCCTGGTCCTAGGGAGAGTGTGTGGCCTCTGGTGTATCCACTTCTCAATCTAAAGCAGGCCTGTGAGAGAGTTTGAAGGCAAAGGCTGACAGGAGATGCAAAGGGGAGGAAGAAGGCTGGGGACGTTTGGAGTCCCCCCCCCCCACTGCTGCTACATGCAGTCTGGTCACTGCAGTGTTTAGCTGTGGGGAAACACACGAGGTGACACCAGAACCTGGAGAGCCCAGAGTGAGTCCTTAGCCCACAGGGCTCTCCCTGCCTGCCCCTGTTTCCAACTTCTCTGGTGAAGCCCAGTAGTGAACTCACGGGTACTTTTGTGGACTGCATCTAAATGTGATGAGGAGTGGTGGCTTAGGTGGCATACCCTGTTCCTCTCCTCCAGGACCCCGAAAGTCTGCTTGACAGAGTGGCAGGAGATGGTGAGGGGCTAAACGTCCTAATTCCAGCTCCCTGGAGTTCTTGTGTGTGTGCTCCCCAGGGAACTACAAGCCTAAGAGGCAGGCTCCAGGAAGGCCCTGGAGGCCAGGCTTGGCTGAATCACACTCGTCTGGTGGTTTTTCCATTATTATTTCTGTATTTGCTGCGAAGCTGGTTTCCTCTCATCCAGATTGGAGCAAAATTTGAGGGGGATCCAAAAGTAGCCATTTATGCTCTCCTTCAAAGAGGTCCAACACGCGTTCAGGACACACGGTCCTCTTCAGCGCCACAGCACTTTCAACTATCATAGCGAGGACTAAGTTTTCCTGGGCCCCTTGCCGGTCAGGCAGGGAAAGTGACGTTTCAGAAGCCGGGCAGACCATCTCTTCTCGCCCCAGGTGAGAGAACAGGCGAGAGCTGGTTCTCCCGGCCTCCAACACGCCCTGGGCCTCCTTGGCCTAAGCTCGCGGGTTCGTACACTGCTCGGGGCCTGGCTGTTGGCGGCGCGACTTGTCTGCTCGGCATTTCAGCCTGTCGCTAGTCCCCAGGACCTGGCTCTTTCTGGCTTCACCGCGCAGCCATAGAACCGTTTAGATGAGGCCGTGGACAGGAAGATCAGCCTGAGTCCAGGCCGCTGTGTGAGATATCCGCCAAGACGTTTTTCCAGCTTGGCAGGACAGACTTCGCGGGTCTGAGCTTGCTCCGCTGGGACTGCGCTCTGGGTCTTCTGCCACCGGCGAGCAGTGGTGTAATTTGGGAGGAGGTGTGGGAAATAAGAACCTTCAGGAGTGCTGGACTTTGAATTCCTTAGAAATCCAGATTGAACGCTCTATCCTGAAATATTAAAAAAGTGAAGGGGGTGAGGGGTGATGGGCGAGGCGGGGAGAACCGGACTCTCGAGGTGACGGGATTTGTAGCGAATTTTGAAAAAGCTCCTTCGCTTCTGTCAGAATTCCTAGCTGCTTTCTTCTGGCAGCCCTCCTTGGTTCTCCAGAAAAAGAGCCCGGAATAGGCGAAGCGCAGCCCAGCGTTAGCGCCGCTGGGAAAGGCAGCGTTTGCTGCGTGCGGGGCCCAGCGGGAACGCAGCGCCCGCGGAGCGCGCCCCAAACCAGGCGCTCCGCCGCTAGCTCTCTAGGCTCGCCTGTCCTCCCGCGCCAGGTAGAACGGGAAGGAGGAAGCAGTCTTTGAATTTTCAGTTACAAGACCCTGGATAGGAACAAACTTTTTTGTTTCGTTTTGCTTTAAGCAGAGTTGCTCCGAAAACGTTCAACAGGAACGTAAAAACCTGTATGTCGAAATCCCTGCAGAACCAGCAGGTCTAAAAGCACCCGGGGGCAGGCGCGAGATTATCAGAATCGTTCTGTGGGTTTTTTTTTTTTTTTTTCGGACAGGTTAACATTTTGTCAGAGCTCAAAAATTCCAGAGCAACTAACATGACTCTGAGCTTGCAGCGCCTATGAAACCTAGCAGATTTGTGAGGAAAACATATGGATCTGGGATTTGCAGGAGTTTGTAAAGACGATCAGAACTCGACTTTCAGCTTCCCTCTGCCCCGCCCCAGTAAACTATGGGGGACCGGGAAGCCAGGGGTTAAAGTCGGCCCAGGAGCATCCGTGGGACGCCCGGCGCTCAGCCTTGGCCCGAGCCTCAGTCTCTCCCTCCTTCTCATTGGTTCTCCCGCACAGGGTTTCTCCTGTTCCCTCCTCGCTATTGGTTGGGGGCTGGCTTTTTCCCCCCTCGGTCTTTTTCTTCCTCCCCCCTCCCTCTCCCTCGCCCCTCGGACAGGAGCGCACTGCCTGCCCCCTGTTCCTAGCGACGCGAGGAATTTAGAGGAAAAAAAAAAGTTTCCCAGAAGTTTGGATCAGAGGAAGGGCAGGAATCCTAAGAGAGGAAAAGAGAGAGGGAGGAGAGAAAGGGAGAGGGAGGAGAGTGAGAGGATAATAATAATAATAATAAAAGATGAAGTCCAGTCGGCACAGCCTGTGAGCGCCTGCCCGGGTGGGTGGGAAGCCGGACTCGGGTGCTCATGCAGCGAGCGAGCCGCGCTCGGGGCGCTTGTTCCTAGCGGCTGGGGCAGCTAGGGGCGCCGATCCCATCCGGCGGCGGAGGGCGGGGGAGAACGCAGAGGGAGGGTGCGGAGGACCCGCGGAGCCGCCGCCTCAGCCTCGGCCGCCGCGCCGCCGCCTCTCCCGGGCTGGGCCCGGCGGGCGCTCGGAGCGTGAGGGCGCAGGCTGCACCCTCAGTAGCGGGGGCGAGCCGGGGCCAGGGTGCGGGCGGCTAAGATGAGTGAAAGGAGAAGATCTGCAGTCGCCCTGAGCTCGCGAGCACATGCCTTCTCAGTTGAAGCCTTGATCGGCTCAAATAAAAAGCGGAAACTGAGAGACTGGGAGGAGAAGGGGCTGGACCTGTCCATGGAGGCGCTGAGCCCCGCAGGCCCGCTCGGAGACACCGAGGACGCGGCGGCACACGGCCTGGAGCCCCACCCGGGTGAGTGAGTCCCTTCGGACAGCGGGAGGCGGGCGGAGAGGGGACGCGGAGCAAACCGCCAGTCCGCGGTGAGGAGGAAGGCCCCGCCGCGGACACCCTGCCTCACTCCAACACCGGTTTCTTTTTCTTCGCACAAATTCCTTGAAGCCTCCGTAAATTCGCCGGAACCAACTTGTGGGGATTGCCTGAGTCTTGCATTTCGTTACCAAACTCAAGCAAGGAGGCCTGTTTACTTGTATCTGCTCTGCTGGGAGCAGAGCCCAGCGTTCCTCGGCCCTGGGGTTAGCAGGGGCGCGGGGCGAAGGCAAGGGCGAGGGCGAGAGAAGCTAGCCCTGGCTCCGGAGCGCTGGGACCACCGGCGGGGCGTTCTCGGCCCGACGCCTGAGTCTCAGGGAATGCCCTGTTTGTATCCGTTAGTCTTCAACCTCCGTCCTCGCTCTTCTTCCACCAACTTTTCAAGGGTAGAACATAATTAAATTTCTACTCCTATTGCGCTTACGGAAACAGGAATGGATGTTAGGCCCGTTACCCTGCACCGTGGGTCACCCTTCAAGGCCCACAACTCCCTATATGGGGGGAGGGGTGCCGTTAATTTGTGGCTGAGATCTCCGTGTAGCCTATGTATATATTATGTGCGCAGAACACCTAAAACACAGGGCGGCTGGCGATGTCTGTATTTTAGGAGAGCCGTAGGAGGGAGGAATATAACTTAACCTTCTGTATTGAGTGCCAGGATTTCAACTGTGTAAAACAGCCCGGCAGAACAGCTGTTGTCACAAGAATCTTTCGCTGTACTCACACAGAACGCTCTCAGCTTGGTTCAGTGACTTCAAAAACTTTCCAGCCCAGACTTCTAAAGTCATGCTGGAAGTGTTCCTGCTGACCAGCCAGGGCTGGGGAGTGGACCCAGTCTGCGCTCTGGCAAGCCTGGGGACGGGGTGGTAGCCAGCACTGGGTAGAGGCGGCCTCGGATTCAGGAGCTTGGGGATCCCGGCCGGAAGGCTGGCCAACTCCAAGAGGGACAGCTGTCGCTTACATTTTCCCTTTAGGCAGTGACAGTTCAATTTCCATGCTCCTGAGGCTAATAATAACGCGATTAGCGGGTGACCTGCAGAGACAGGGTTTATGAATTCTCCGTGTTCTTGTGGCCCGTTACGGTATTTGGGTTTAGTGCTGGGGAATTATTTTTATTAGTCGATGAAAAGAAAATTAAAAGGAGATTTATTTCGTCCTTTCGAGCCTTTTCCTGTATTTGGATGCGGGTGCCGGTCCACGCGGACCCCTGCGTGGGCAATTCAGAAAGGAACGCATAGCTAATGTGTGTTTCCCTTCTCTGACTAGACCCTGTTTCTTCACCTCATTTATCTGTTGTCAAAATCTTGCTTTAGTTAGAAGTTCTTGCAGGCCTCTGACAGTTTACAATTTGGGAGCTTCTTTTATTTTATTTTCCCCGATTGTTCAAAAAACAAGACATTTGACTGTGAAGGGCAAACCCTCTGTCTGCAGGAATTTTTCTCTTGGGAGGCCCCAGATTGCCTGGAGCCTGATTTCAGTTGTTTGTTCAAAAGGGCCAATATGTGGGGTTACAGTGAGGGACTCACATCGCGAAGTTTGTTCTTCCTGCTGTTCTCATCAGCCTGAGCTCCCTCAGGAAATGGAGAGACAAGTGAAGGGATGGGGCAAACAGAGACCATTCCATGGCCATGAACGTGGAGAACTGGGCTCCAGAACTCTGTCCAGTGCCTGGGCTGGATGGGGGTGGGTGGACACTTAATGTAGAACTAACTTTTAAGTAACAGGGAGTTAGTTCCGTTGGTCAGTTCCCATTACTTTATCATTTTTTTTAGAGAAAAAAAGGCATTTGGATTAGGGAAAACGAAATACATTTCGTTTTCTGGACTTTAAAGAGTCCAGAAGGAATAAGAAGCTGAAAGCTGAGAGCGCTCCTGGGCCTTCTGCAAGATGGGGTCAGGCTGGGCCTGGCTTTGCCTTGGGCCCAGGGATCCCTAAGCTGGAGGCTAAGCCTTTCTTACGATCTGGACTCTGGGGAAAGATGAGACAAGATCTTTCAGAAAAACACTTCAGTGGTGTGTCAACTAAGCAGTTCCGGAGTGGAGGAGGCAGGACTACAGGCTCTGCGTCCAGGCCGGCGCTGAAAGCTTGACCAGGGCTTGGGGGACATTTCAGGCCTTTCTTTACTATAGCGCCTAAACAAACATACACAGGGCCACAGTCAAAGATGTGCCTACGGTGGAGTTACACAGGCAACCCTGTTGTGCCCAGGGCAGCGTCTCTATGCTCCTGGGCCTCACAATTCTGTTTAAACTGTCTTCTCCTTGTTAGGGCTGAGAGGCCAATGCTAAGCTCTTCCACTTTTGGCAGATAATAAACCAGGAACAGGAAAAAACAAAACAAAAAATAAAAACAAAACTACCACGGGGGGCAGCGGAAGAATAATCCATGCACACAGGCTGGTGTACTGCAGCCGTGTTTATCATTCTTACCGTCTCTCTCTGACTGATACCACTGTTTCCAGCCTGCTCTACGCGAGCCTCAAAAATCTCAGGATCTTCAGACAAGGGTAGGATTTTTGTTTAACTTTTATAAAAAAAAAAAAAAACCGCGGCCTTTCGCTTCCTCACAGTCCATTTTTCTTTTCGCGTCTGGACAGAGCGGGCTTTAGCTGGCGCCTGAGCACTCGCAGCCTGGGGCGCCAACCTGCGTGCATAGTAGGGACCAGCCTGGCCTAAGAGGCGGAGGCATTCACATCTCAGAGGACACAGTATGTATTTAAATTTTTTTTCACTAAGCCTATCTGGTGGCCCCCCCCAAATCCCGAGGCCCATCGGCCTTTGAGCAAAGTCCTGTAAGGTACCCCTCTGCCATACCACTGTGGCACACTCGCCATCTTTTGGAGAAACTTCTAGGACTCACCCGCCACAGGTGGAGAGGGTCTTGATCGGTCTCAGAGGAGCCTGATTTTCAAGCCTGCCTACCCTCGTCTTCTCCAAGAGCAACACAAAAACTTTTGGGCCAGGATGGGCTGGAACAGCTGCTCTAGCTACCGCCATCCAAGTATATTTCAGGCCCGCGGCAGCAGGATCTGCTCTCGGACCCCAGCGGGAGCTCCACCCGTCTTCCCCCTGGCGGACTTGGGCCTTTCCCGCCAAAATCCTCCGCAGAGTACTGCCGAGGCCGAGTCTCCCGCAGAGCGAAATAATTCAAACCTTCTGCGGAGATATTTCCTCCTCTACAGCCTATGGTACTGGGCCTGAGATTTGCAGACGCGCGGCTCCGAAGGCCTAGGGAGGCGGCAGCGCGTGCGGGTGGACACACACAGCCGGGCACACCCGACAGGCGGGCAGATCGACCGTGTAGAAGTGCACACCCACTAGGCGCTCTTGATCACAAACTCACCCGGCCGTGCAATCCCTAGTGAAATTAGGAAAAACCTGAGCAGAAACCATGGCTGCCCCAGGGCACTTTCGAGTTACTGAGATCAGTAACATGAGTTAATCTGCCGGTTTATGGTTTGTTAGCTCAAAGTAAAACTCCGAGATTTTAATCCTGACATCACCTCTCTACCCACCCCCAACCCCCATAGGCAAACTGGGTGAAAGGAGGAAGTGACTCTTCACTGACGTTTAAGTAACGGATAAAAAGTGATGGATTTGAAGCCAGCGGGAGAATGTACTTTCTCGGGGTCACAAGCCCCGGTTCAGAGCATAGGGACCCGGTGTGTGGCCCAGAGTGAAACGCCCGCCCGAGGATCTGCCTGCGGTGAGGTCCGGTCCGGGATAGGGAAGCCTGGTTCCCCAGTGCTGCCTGCGCCCCTGCTTTGGCGCTGGCCCCGAGGGCACTTGGCCCTGGCGCCCGCCGTCGGGTAAAGCGTGGGACCTGGTGAACTTACACAAGGCTCTCGCCGTTCAGGTCAAAACGGTCTATCACGAAGGCCACCCCTTTGGTAAGTGACCTTATGTGACGGGGAAGCGAAAGGGGAGATAAAGTCTGAATTTGTCATTGGTCAGTGAGGATGATTGTTCGCTGAGGAATGACTGCCCAGGACATTTTTCATGCACTAGTGGAACTAGACCAGATCCCTACTGGATGCGTGGGGCTGGGGTGGCCCACTGCGGTGGCTCTGGGGCCGGGGGGTGAGTTACGAAGACATTCTGTGTTTAACTGGCCCTGGCACGATGACACAACAGAAGCCAGTAGGAAAAGGGAAGTAATTCTAACCTGCTCCAACCTAAAGGAGCAACTGCACATGCCTCAAGGGCTGTAGGGAGGATCGGGAATGAGGAAAACTGGAAGGCGCAGAGTGTGGGCTGTGATGGGGAGGAGGGGGGAAAGGGGAAGTGATTTGCGCGTCCGTAAGTCCCCCTCTTCCTCCACTCTGCACTTTAGAAGCCAGTAGCGACAGGCCTAAGAATCGCGAGAGGACGTGTGGCTGGTGGCGGAAGGAGTCTCTCCCTTCGCTGCTAGAAGGTGCTGGACTGCCCTTCATCCGCCCTTGCCCTCACGGCTACCTCTAAGCCCTCCGCCCAGGGAGCGCGAACCTAGGACAGCGAAGGCTTTCAGCTCAGCGCGCAGACTTCCGACGCCTTATACCTGGCGCTGCAATTCTGAATTTGGGTAACCCAACTAGCGATATTTTTTATTGAACACTACATTTGAATTATGCGCTGGCCACTTTGGATTTCCTAGTTGTATGGGTGAAATACTCAGAAAGAAAATTTCATGGTACAACATTCATGATAGGAGAAAAAGGAGAATTACATTTCTTAAAGTGGATTTTGGACTGAAATTATATTGACACAAATCTGCTGCCCTTTTCCTGACAACCGCCTCCCCCATACCAATTACTTCAAATAGTATAAACATCTGTTAATTATGAAAGGAAATTAGTTTAAAATATCTCTAACATACATTACATGTGAGGACCAAGTGAAGAGGATCATGAATTGCCAAGGGCTAAAGCTGAAAACATGGGGTATTGG